TTCCTGTCAGCATCCTACGAGCTTGAGATGCTCTACAACCTGTGACCATCACCTTTGCATCTTTTATGTAACCAATCTTATACCCAATTTTACGTAACAGTTTTTAATATAATAAAATTCAATGGGGGTGATTGTTGATAATCAACCCAGTCTCCTGTTAAGTACTTACAGTAACGACGTGGACCATATACATATACTGACGTAATGGACAATTAGAAAGTAGAAACTGGTACTAATTTTGTATTAATGTGGCTAATAAAACCTAACCTAACCATCCTGGGCCTAATACACGCTATCTGAGGCCTAATATACTACATATAGCTTTTTTTTCTGGACTCATATAAAGTGAATAATACCAAATTCTACTATTTAACGGTCCATTACATCAATATATATATGTACATCAATATATATATATATATATATATATATATATATATATATATATATATATATATATATATATATATATATATATATATATATATATATATATATATATATATATATATATATATATATGTACGATGGTTTACATAGTTACAAAAGGTATTACCTAAACATGAGAATGCGGTTTGATAATATATACAAAACTTCCCCCCCCCCACCCTGAGTGCTGTATATTCTCTTCTACGAGGCAGAGTCCGAAATAATTTAATCAGAAGTGGCTTGAAGTGTAAGTTCGTTCATTGATCTGTTTCTTCAAAGATGGGAGCAGGAGCTTCTAGCCAAACATCGGAAGATAACGTTGATGAAGGTGTTGATGAGGGTTACCACAGAAGGGACTCACAACTGCCTCTACATCACTTGCGACAATGATGGCAATAATATCGTTCACTGCTTCAGTCTCGGCTCTCATGTCCACATCTATCTCTCATGTACACATCTATCTATTATGTACACATCTATTTCTCATGTACACATATATCTCTTATGTACACATACATTCTCTTGTGCACACATCATTCTCCCATGTATACATCTATCTCTCATGTACACATATATCTCTTATGTACACATACATTATCTTATGTACACGTACATATATGCACATTACCAGTATTTATCTATGCCTTAATTTACATACGAAGGTTAGTCCAAAAAAAAATATATATATACATTCAAATAGTTATTTACAATGGACCACAAGCATCAATATGCTGATATCTCCCACGGCACCGCAACACACACACACACTACAGTATATGTACACTCATGCACCCACCCTACACTCAGGTGTTCCCTTCCAAGTGTCGGATGGAATAGTCGTGACACCCCCGTATCAGACTACACCTCCGACGCCTTCAGTTACACTTCCTGCACTTTACACCTACACCTTGGCTCCCAAAACCTACACCTCGGCTCTCTACGCCTACACCTCGGCTCTCTACGCCTACACCTCGGCTTCCTACACCTACACCTCGGCCTACACCAATATCTCCAACAACAGTGGCCCAAGATCCCTGCCCTTCCCCCTCAAGACTTGCACGTCTTCTGAATCACGATTCAGCACTTGACTCACTGCCACGAATCACGAATAATGGCTCGCAAAACTAAGAACTTGTGCTGACTACGGACGGGTTTATGCACTGGACCTTACAAGGTAAGAGTTCTACGGAAAATAAAAGAAATATCAGAAGCGCTTTTAAACGCTTGTGGTCGAGTTTAAAATGTGGGCACATTCGAACGTCTTTATGAAGCCTGCACGAGTTGTATGCCAGGTGTATTATACGCTAACTGTATTGTATGACAGCTGTATTGTATGTCAGTTGTAGTGTACGTCAGGTGTACTGTGTCCCCAGGTGTATTGTACGCTAGCTGTATTGTATGCCAGTTGTACTGTACACCACCTGTACTGTATGCCAGTTGCATTGTGCGCCAGTTGTATTGTATGCCAGATGTATTGTACACTAGCTCTATTGTACGCCAGTTATATTATATGTCAGCTCTATTGTATAAGAAATATTGCCAGAATAACAGAGAAAAATTATCCAAAAAAAAATGGACAGTTTTCTGCGAGAGGAGCTGGACCAACCGGGCTGTAGTGGACATGTGGGCCTGCGGGCCACCCCATACAACAGCCTGTTGGACCAAGCTCTCCACCTAAGCCTGGTGCACGACTAAGTGGACAGAGCAGTTCGGACACAAAAAGGCGCAGGGTGTTGTTCCATTAACTGTCCAAATGGAGTTAAGCGAGTGTGTGACAGAGACGCAACCTAGGCAGAGCCGTTTCCCATTATCTATTAACCTAATGCCAGCCCAATGACCCTGCCAGGAGTCACAAATTTAATGAATGATTGGGTAGAAATACAAATAAGGAATCCCTCCTTCTGGGAAAAGTTCCTTTAGGGCTTTAGGGGCTAAAGGGGTGACTAAGACAACCAAGTGTCCAACTCCAAAAGCTCAGCAGCATCTTAATAATACTGAAGGGGATCACCATAGACTGACAACAGGGAACGGCATGCCTCCACGTTAAGAGTATAGCACAAGTCGTTGTTGT